CCACTAAATTTACACCAAATTTCATCGAAATCCGTTCACCCGTTTAGGCTACAAACTCTAACAAACATCCAACCGTCTAAACTTTCGCATTTATAATATTATTATGATATATTTTTATTCAACAATAACTCAGCAAGTATTGCGTAACAAAAAAACATCGCAAAATAATATCGCAACAGTTCTTCAAAGACTACAAAAATAATCTTACTAATATTATAAATAAGAATGTTTAGATCTATGGATGTTAGTTTGTAGCCTAAACTGCTGAACAGATCTCGATGAAATTTGGCATGGATGTAGAGGACAGCCATAGGCTCTCACTAATGTTTTTTTAAATCCACGCGGATGGAGTCGCAGGCCAAAGCTAATCTTCAGATACATTTAAAAAGAAGCAAAGTCTGCATCCTTCTGTATTTTAATGCACATTTTTTTCGTTATTAGAAAATATTACTAGTCACATCACAATCTGTCGAAAAAAAAAATAAAACTAAACACTACTAAAAACTAAAAAAATTCTTTACAATTTTAGTTTTATTTTTATTTTCCACAGATTGTGATGTGACTGGTAATATTTTCTGATAACGAAAAAAATGTGCTTTAAAATACAGAAGAATACTAGCTTTGGCCTGCGACTCCGTCCGCATAAAACAACCCAATGGTGGTAAGAAACCCGTATCTTACGAACAGTCTTTTGACAGTGGTAGTGCCCGCTTTAACATCTTAGCACGAATGGGCGGGCTCGCCCCCAGTAATACCACGACCACACAGAAGACAGACGTGAAGTGGAAGCAATTCCGCGTACAGTCTGATGAGTGTGGTGCCGGAGGCCTAATTTTAGTCCCTTTCCCTTTCCACCCTTTTCTTAAGAGGAAAGGACGGGAAGGAAAAGTGGATTTGACTGTGGAGATGCATAGGAAGGGGAAATGTCCCCTTTATGTGCGACTCCTCCGTCAATGAAGGGTAGGCAGCGCTGTAATTGCGGATGTTTATGTGCTGCGGTCCCTTTCCATTTCGGTGGATTCAGGCTGCTTGCTCGTTTGCCACCTTATGTTATAAAAAAAAACATTAAAAAATTCTAACCTGCAAAGCATTTTCATTCGTCTTTTCTGGTTCCATTGTATTAAGTGTTGGGAATTTGAAGGAGAATCCTTTAGGAAATATTGGCCTTGACAATAAAGACTCCAGCTGTTTCTTCTTTATGTTCAAAGTTTTGTCTATCGACGGATCTATTTCCTTCCTCTGTCTGTGGTTTCGAGTGAAGTTTATTAAAATCGAATATAGAAGTATAGAGTTACAAAGATCTTAAAGCAGTCGACATTGACAGGAATCTGCTAGTTTTTAGAGTTACCAGTAAGCAAAAAATTTAAGCAAATACAAGGTAATATGAAAAAAAAAACAGTATTATATTTTGTACAAAAACACTTAGATATTTGCTATTCAAAAATGTTTTAGTTAGATTTTATTTAATTTTATTCCATAGTTCAAATCGCGAAATTTTTTCCGTTACTTCCCAAACATTATGGATAAGTGCATGTCTATATTATAATATGTCCATATTATAATATAACGACGCATACAAAAAAATAACAATCATCACCCAATTCATCACTCTTTAATCACCTATCTATACTAATATAATAAAAACACAAACTGCTTTGTGACGTAAGATGTCAGCAATCACAGCATATTTTTAAAAAAATATTTTTTTGTACGACACGCTTTAGACTATATATTTTCACACAATTTAAAATTAAGGCGTAAATAAACTGGAAAAAACTTTCATGTGGGAAAGGGACCATAAACTACAAGCTGCCAACATTAAGGAAGAAATAGAACAGTAGAACCTCGATAACTCAAACCTTGGTAACTTAAAAACCTCTATAACAGTGGTAGAGCCTGCTTTAACATCTTCGCACTGCAGGGCCGGCTCGCCCCCAGTGATACCACGACCACACAGAAAACAGGCGTGAAGTGGAAGCAATACCGCGTACAGTCTGATGAGTGTGGTGCCGGACGCCTAATTTCAGTCCCTCTCCCTTTCTACCCTTTCCTTAAAAGGAAAGGATAGGAAGGAAAAGTGGATTTTACGGTGGAGGAGACGCATAGTAAGGGAAAATTTCCTCTTTATGTGCGTCTCCTCCTCCGTCAATCAAGGGTAGGCAACGCATCTGCAATTGCAGATGTTTATGGGCGGCGGTCGCTTACCATTTCAGTGGATTCAGGTGGCCGCTTGCTCGTTTGCAACCTTATATTATAAAAAAAAACTTTAAAAAAAATAATATGTTCCCTTCTCATCCAAAAACCTCTACAACATAGAACCTTGATAACATAAAACCTCTATAACTTAAAATATTTTTTGTTTCCCTTAGACTTTAACTTGTTGAGGTTCCACTGTATTATGGTAACAGTAATTTTGATATTTGCAATTGAGGATTTGACAAATGTTAACAATAAAATATCATACGGTTAAAGCCACGGAAACAGCTAGTTATGGATAAACTGACATGTCTATATTATGATATCTTGACACAAAAATCATTAAACTACCTACACCGACCACGGATCACATAAAAAAGTGACAACCATCATCCAATTCAACATAAAAAGTGACAACCA